ATTCCCCAAATTCATTAAGTGGTTTGCTTGTGGGAAGTGCCCCTTCCTACACACATGGTCCTCAGTGCTGTCTGGATGGTCCCGCCGCCCACAGGATGCTGTCCATCTTTCACAGGGTGGCCAGTGCAATGCAGGGGCTGCAACCTTACTTTGAATTCATTTTAATTAAAGTGGGTCACACTGAACTGCGCAACTCTGGGGCCAGAGGACAGATGACGGAGCAGTTACCGCATGGGACAGAGTTCAGCCTGTCACATGAACCTCCCTCTCCTAAGCCCGAACTATGCCTGGTGGAAAGACCCTCGTGCTCAGTTTTTTCTCCCATATAAAATAGGCAAGTAGTTTAGGTAGCTTTAGGATTAAATGACAGGACACACAGCACCCATGAGGCACTGATCATCAGCTTGACTTTGCTCTCTGGGCATTTTTTTCCTGACACACTGGCAGAGGACACTGATGATGGTTTAAACAATGCTGCTGCGGTGTGCACATCATAACCTAAAATGAGCATCTCCAGATTCGTTAACTCCACGTGCCCCAGATGAATCCGCTGTAAATAATTTCTCCCACATCTGCCCAGGAACTGTCTCCGCTTTTATAAAGCAGTGGAAGGATTTTGATCTGTTCTTTGCGAGCGTGCTGATGAGCTCACACTATGCGTGCTGCTCCAAGCAGACTTTGTCACTGAGTGATGTGCCAACGTCCTCAGCCCATCCTGGCAATCCACATCCACCGTGCTGTTCACAGTTTATGTCGTGTGTGGAGGGGAGAGTCATTCGTGATTTGCTTTGCGGATCCCTTCTGATGGGAGTTAAGATTCCTCCCTCCCTCCTTCCCTGCCTCTTGTCCTTCCTTCTGGTTCAACTGTGATTCCAGGCAGAACGAAAGACTAGTGTTGAAATCTCTCCTCTGGGTGGTGTGGAGAAACTCACTTTACGCTTTTCCTCTGGCTGTGTTCACTTTTTCATTTGGAGATGTTGCCTTCCTTCTCCTCCTTTTCCTCTTCCTCCTCCACTGCCTCCTCCTCTTTCACTTCCTTCTCCACCTCCTCCTCTTCCACTTCCTCCCCCACTTTCTCCTCTTCCATCTCCACCTTCCCCAGCTCCTCCTCTTCCACCACCTCCCCCCACTTCCCTTCTTGAGCTGCAAGGGAGCTGCCTGCTGTTCTGTGTTAGCCTCTGAAGCACAGTGTTAGCAGTGGAAAGGTGGAACAGTCACAGGCTTTTGTTCTTTCAAGGTCTCCTACCCCTCCCCCCACTTCTGGCCAAGACTTTGCGGATCTCAGCAATTGCTTTAATGATTTTGAAAACCTACTGGAAGCAGCTATTTGGCCGAGTGATCCCACTATAAGGGAACACTAGAGTCAGACTCCTGTACCAGACTTGTGCCCAGTGACCTGCCAGCTGCCTAAGAATGAGCCTGGAATTAGGTTGGTTCATTTCACTGCTAAACAGGGTCATACATTGCTGAGAACTAAAGCTGCACCTGTGCAGATAGACTTCCAGCGTCCCAAGTCCACCCTGGCAGGCTCTAGCTGTCTCCGGTGAGACTGGGCTCAGACCCCCACCGCCACCCCATCTGACTCAGTGCGAAGAAGAGGCTGACCTTTTGCTTATATTTTAGTCATAAACCTGACACATGCCTCTCTGCATATGGACAATTGTACCCACCCAGAGGAAGACTGTTACCCAGTGGAATTCCTGGGCTAATGGCTGGAGGTTATTGTTGTTAATATTTTTTGTTGTTGTTATTTTTTTTTGTTTTTTTTTCCAACTGTGATAGATTTTGACCTCAATATAGGCTTATTTTAAACCTCTTAGGTACACTAGACTTAAAAGCAATGTTCTGATAAGTTCTGAAAAGTTTCCTCAAGTCATGATAATAATCACTCCTGGAATGTATTTGTTGGGTGGATTTGAAATTTGGGAGGAAACAGATTGTTTTTCTTCTTTTAACAGGTCTGGTTTCTGCCATCCCTATGGGGTAGGCATGTGGATGGGGTGCAGTGCTTGGTGGGAGGTGCTTGGAGGCCAAGCAATTGAATCCCCACTAATTTTAGCTCAGGAGGGCTTCAGAGCTAAGGTGAAAACTGCCTGCTTGGGCACCTGTCCAGCAGGAAGCAAAGCTTTGTAGGATTATGAAACAACACCCCAGAAAGTTACTGAACCCATCGCTATAGACCGGGAGGAGAGAAGGGAGGAGATACCCAGAGGGACCTTGTTAATACAGTACAAGGGCAGCTCTCAGCAGCCAAAACCCAAAACAGCCCACAAAAGTAAGAAGAGATGCTTGACCTCCTCAGAAATCAAGGGAAAACACACACTCTAGCAACAATAGTACATGTTCTTCCTCCTCTCAGACTGACGAATGTGAAATCATAATTCACATTATTCACCGGATAATTATTATTCACCGGATAATGACTTCCGGTGTTGAGAGGGTATGTGGAGTGGACATCCTGCTCCACTCCAGGAGGGAATGGTGAACATGTGGAAATGAGGTGAAAGCCCCACGAGTCAGCACCCCAATACCTATGCCATTCTAGTTCTAAGAATCTGATTTAAAGAATTGAGCTATGGACAGAGACACACAGTCAAAGATGTTCACCAGCCAGCATTGTGCATAGGAACAACGGGGCTGGGAGACTGCTCGGTTTATAGTCCAGAGAGGTTGAAGTAACTTGCCCAAAGTCACCCAGCTAACAAGACTTGGGTTTTGAATTCAGATCTGAAGCCATGCTATCTTCCCTGAGGCTAGATTGCTTATTATTTCACGGAAGGAAAAGAGGTGTCAGGTATGGGTGGATCCTCCTGCCCCCCCCCCCCCCCCCCCCCCTGTTAGCACCCTACCAAGTGTGCTTATACTGGTACTGTATTCTCACCAGCACCTCATTGATAAGTGGTTGCCAGGAGGGCTTTGGAGGAAGAGCTTTTGTGCTTCTGTAAGGTCCTTGCAAGTAGCTTCATTGAAGGGTCTGGTCGCTACGAGACATTTCCTCAGCAAGTTTCCTTTGGAAAAGGAACCGAGGCTCCACCCATAGCCCAGCATTGTTGTTCCCGGAGGAGAACATCCCATTATGGGTTCCCCACAAGGTACTGGCAGCAGATCCAATCCCTTCTCTAACAGATTCTTTCTGCTCCTAGCCCAGAGCTTATCTTGGGATGTGCTAACTCACTCAGACTCCTCAATAGAGGAAATCAAGGCACGACAGAGGGACTCGTGAGGCTGGCTGTCTCTCTCATCACTGCACATGACGGCTCCCGATGGCTTTGTTGTACAGTCAGCAGGAACTTAGTATGTGAAGCGTTTCAAAGTGGTCAGAGGAACAGACAATTATTCTGTTTGTGTGGAAATGAGCAGTGGACATCTATTGGGAATATGCGACGAGTCTTTTGTTTGTGAGCCTGGCCTTTAATGGCGGAGACAGCCCCTGGGCCATATCTGTAGGATATTCATATGCAAACTGGCCTTAGGGTCATTTTGGCATCAGTGCCTAATTTTTTTTTTCTCAATGAAAGTTTATATTATTCAGCCTCTCTGTTTCTAGGAAAGGCTGATTGTATACTGGATCTTGTTTACATTCTGGATTCTGTTCTCTTTCTGAGAAAAGTGTTAAATATTGTCTTAGCAGGCAGTAAAATCTCTAGGTGATACCTTTGGACTTTCGTGGGCTGCTTTCCCACCCACCTGCTGGGGACTATAGCTGCTTCAGCTCTTTGTTCAGGGAATAATTCTGCAAAGCACTGGCTATTTCTAAAGTTTTCAGACTTGGCTGGTTCCTCAGCGAGCCTTCTCTTCTGAGGATCCTGAGGGATTTGGTGTTGACTCGGTCTTTCCACTATAGTGTGCCCTTGTTCCGGTGGCTCAACTTGGTGCCTCTGAGAACTGTCCTCGGGTCTGCCACCACTGCCCGACCTTGAGTATCTCAGGCTACCTTCCACCCTCGAACTGCTTATCTCTGTGAATCTCAGTCAGGGCTCACCTGGGCCCTAGGCAAGTCTCTGTGGGTCATGTGGGTCCCCTCTAGATTCTTTGGACCATCTCCTTTTGTGTCTGTCTATGTGTGTGCGTGCGTGCGTGCGTGCGTGTGTGCGTGTGTATGTGTGTGTGTGTGTGTGTGTGTGTGTGTGTGAAGGTCAGAGGACAACTTCAGGTTCATTCCACAGATACCATCTACTTTTTGTTATGTTTTGAGACATGGTCTCTCATTGGCCTGGAGTTTACCAAGTAAGCAGGCTAGGCTGGTTGGCCAGTGAGCCCCAGGAACCCATCTGTCTTCATCTTCTGGGATTTCAAATGTATACCTCCATGCCATTTTTTTAAAAATTATTTTTAAAAAACATTGGTCTGGAGATTTAACTGATAACATAGCAGGCATTTAGCAACTGAGCCGTCTTCCCAGCTCCAGCTCCCGTGTTTGTTTTCTGCCCCATTTACCAGCTACAAGGTCTTACCTGGATCACATGACCTCTACTAGCCTTAAACGTTCCAGAATGACCCCTTTCTGATCCTTGAAATGAGCAGTAGCAGCAACAGGCTAGTGATCCTAAGCACCAGGTACCTCTTGGCATCCAAACCTGCCCGGGGAGTGATTGTTCCTGTTTCCCAGAGGGAGCCTGTGGCTCAGAGGCTGTGCTACCTGCCCAAAGGCTCACAGTTGGCAAATGGCCAAGCTGCACTTGCTTCCTGTGCCTGGAAGAAGCCATCTCTTCTTCAGCATCCAAACTTGGGTGCTTTCTCCATCACTCAAAGCTCCCTCAGGGAACATACGGGGGATGATGGGACTTCTAGAACGGGGCAAAGGCAGGGAAATCATCCGCGAAGCTCTGTTCAGATTCTGTTACATCAGAAGAGATCCTGTTTCCTCCATTCTGGCGCCATGAGCAGGCGGAGGAGCGGGCAGGCAGCCACTTCCCTGGCTATTCAAGTAGAAAATTACAGGTGCCCCAAATAGCCCGGGCATTCTTTTATTAATGAATAAGAAGTGAGTTTGTGGCACTGGCATGGGGCTGGTGTTGCTCGCACCTCCTCTTTCCACTGGCTGCATTCCCAAGATCTTCAGGGACCTATGCCTCTGAGTTCTCTGAGGAGCGGGCACCGATATCAAGTTAGAGTGAGTACGCCTTCAGGGCTTGGTCCTACAGAAAGGGGAGGCATGGCTTTACCCTACAAGAAAACAAGGGCCTTTCATTCCAGGAGGATCAGGTGCTAGAGTTAAGGCTGTTTTCTCAGTTGTGATTCAACTCCTCTGAGCAGTCACGTCTTCTGAAAAAGAAAAAAAAAATTCTAAACTCACAAAAAGTCCTTTCTCTCTTTTTAAGTTTATTGATTTTATTGAGCTATATATTTTTCTCTGCTCCCTTCCCTTCCTCTCTCCTCCCCTTCCTTCTATCCTCTCCCATGCTCCCCATGCTCCCAATTTACTCAGGAGATTTTTTTCCCCGACTTCCTAATGTACCAATGTACATTAGATCCATGTATGTCTCTCTTAGGGTCCTCATGTTGTGTATTTTCTCTGGGATTGTGAATTGTAGGCTGGTTTTCCTTTGAAAAGCACTTCCTCTTGATGATGGTGTTAATACTCACTGTAGACAATGAAGAGGCAGGATAGGAGAAAGAATACAGAATGAGCATCCCATCCCGACCCTCTGCTCTTTCTCAGTTATTAAGGCCAAGATTAAGGCTAGCCAAAGCTGCTTCTAGAGGCACATGGGGGACTGTCCAGTCCAGCCCAGTCAGCTGCTGTGCTTGTTAGGGGATCCAGCCTGCAGGTAGCCCTCAGTCAATCACCCAGATTCCACCTGGAGGTGGGTACACTCCAGCACCCCATGACTTCCGTTTTTCTAGTTCAGTTCCCACAATATCCTCCAACCTCTGACTTCATTCAGAGTCATAGAGAGGGTGGGATGAAATAAAGTCATTTAGTGAGCTTCAGACATGGATGTGAAGCAAATCCAGGGTATCAGTGCCCCCCCCCACCCCCAACAGACTCTGTAAGCTGGTCTGGGAAGTTGTAGCTAATCTGAAACCTCTCTCAAGTTACTTTGGGACTAGTTGACATATTGAAAGACTACCATAGTTACTAGAAACATGTGGATTGCACATGGGTCCCAGACTTTGTGGTTATTACCAACTGGAGTTCACAACCTGAGGCTGCTCTGGTTTGGAACCCGACTTGAAATGGGCCCTAGGAATTCCCAAAAGGCAGGATCTGATCACCAACAGCACCGATCACTGGCCCTGCTGCCTACGGGTATAGCGGCAGAATGCCCGTCTTCAGTCCCTTCCATAAGGGATAAAAATGAGGCCCAGAGGAGTCATGTGACTCTCCTAAGGCCACCCAGCTACAGTTTTACACCAGAACTTGTTCTCAGGTTTGACCTCATGGGATGTCTGATACTGCCCATGAAGCTTGGCCTGTTGGGATGAAGAAGAGCTAGCCCCGTCCTCAGAGTCCTGTCCTGAGGGAGAGTACCATTTGTAACCTTCTGCAATTCCTGTGTGGCAGTGGCCAGGGAGGAGTCTACTGATGGAGGAGGGTTATCTGTCTATTGTTACTTTCATTGGTTAATAAAGAGACTGCCTTGGCCTTTTTGATAGGCCAGCCCTTAGGCAGATGGAGTAGACAGAACGGAATTGTGGGAGAAAGAAAGCAGAGGCAGGCAGTCGCCATGACTCTTCTCTCCAAGACAGCTGCAGGTTAGAATCCTCCTGGTAAGCCACCACCTCGTGGTGCTACACAGATTATTAGAAATGGGTTAGATCAATATGTAAGAGTTAGCTAATAAGAGGCTACAGATAATGGGCCAAGCAGTGTTTAAAAGAATACAGTTTCCGTGTAATTATTTCGGGTAAAGCTAGCTGGGTGGCGGGATGCAGCCCGCCGCTCCTTCTAGTCTACGGCTCTGGACTCAGCCTGCATTATTGTAGATCATCACAAGGCCGTTCCTAGCCCTGTCATTCTTTTCACTTCTCCAGGCAGTGAACATCACATCTGTAAAATGGGTTAACACAGTGCTACCAACTGTCTGTTCAGAGACAGTGCCATTGAACAGGTAGGGAGCTGCCAGTATTGCTTCGACAGTACTAGCCCAGACAGGAAGACAGACAGCTCCTTACACTGTTACGCCTACATTCTTTGAGACAGTCTCTCCCTGGCCTGGAGCTAGCCAATTCGGCTAGACTGACTGGTCACTGAGAACAGGGAGTCCTCATGTCTTCACCTTCCCGAAACTGGGATTACAATGTCCTGTGCCCAATATTTCCAAGTAGATCCTGGGGTTTGTGCTTAGTCCTTATGCTTGTAAGGCAAGGACGTTACTACAGATAAATAGGAAAAGCTGGGCTCTGATGGTAGCCTGCTAAATTAGCCACCCCCCACCCAAACTGTTAGTCTAACTGTCCTACCTGCCCAAATTAGAAGTTTAGAGAGGTCTGCCTCATGACCTGCGGACGTGCCAAGGTTATGTGCTTGGTAAGTTTTAACAGTGTATAGATGAACACATGTATGGTCGTTGTTGAGAAATTGACAGATGTTAAGTGGTGGAGGGAATGGAGGACCTAGATGAAGTGAAAGACTGTATCTTCCTGTTGATTCAGCCAATGAGAAAAGGGAGGAAGATCCCTGATTCAGGACTAGAAAAGCTGTCCTCTGTGCTCAGTCAGCGGGCCTACCACTCGGGGCAGACATCCGGCTTTGTAAAGTAGTAACCATTATTGTCTGGCTTTTGATACTTTGTCTCCCTCCATTGCTCTTATTACTGAGCCCTCTCCTTTGCTCTCCACACAGCCAGAACCCACCCTGAACTCCAGGCAGTGAATTGTTTGGCCAGATAAAAATAGCAAAATAGTTGCGGTCTAGCATGGTGGCATGTGCCTTTAATTTCAGTACTTGGGAGTCAGAAGTAGTGTGTCTCTAGGAGTTCAAGGTCAGCCTTGTAGAGGGCAAAATTTCCTTGTGCACACAGATAAATTCTGGAGAAACCCGGAAAAAAAAGTTAAACATGCATCTTATCTTTCCAAAGAAAGAAGGTGTATGGAGACGAACGTAGTTTACAACCTAGTGATCCTTTGCTATCTGCTGAAGCCAGGCCCTGCCCATTTGCCCCAGAATTTATGCTTTGTTTATCACAGTCCCTTTCTCCCTAAATCTTGAACATTGCTTATAGACCATAAGACCCATCCTTACGAGTGATGTCACTTGTACTTTACAACAGCCTAAGTGAATTCTGTGTTATCTTAGGGCCAGACCAGTCCTGACTTCTACAGGCATTACGTTCATCTCAGTCGTTCTCATTAGGCCCTAAATCGTGGGCACTGTCTCTGAGCCAACAGTATTCATCCTTGTGAAAGAAGCCAGATGTACGTTGTAGAGAATTTCAATGTAAACATGTCTTAAATTTGTTGTTTACTTGGGACTGAGTTTATAGCTATTAGAAATCTTTTCCTAAAGTTGTTCTGTGCTTAAGTGTGGCTAAAGTAAATGACCTGGTATTGTACTCTCAAAGTTTGAACCAGTGACAGCTAACTAAGTCACACTGAACCGAGTTTCCATTTTTTACCACCTCAGCTGGATTGGTTGACTCCCAGCCATAAAGCCTGCAGGGACCCCACACACAGCCTGGTCTACACAGCAAGCTCCAGGACAGGCCGGGCCACATATGAGACCTTCACCATCAATATGCGTGTTTCCCACATCTTTAGTTTCTATAGTGCTTGCTCTTCAGATGGCCACTCACTCTTGCCTTTTGCTTATTTATTTGTTTTTTCTTGTTTGTTTAATTATTAGTTAATTTTTTTCTATCTTGTATACTTACCTTATTAAATTTCAAATTTCTTTTCTATATTAATTTAAATCTATAATCTTCCCCTTTAGGTTATTGCAGCTAAATCCCACAAGTTTCAATGTATAGCAGTTTTATTGTTATTCAACCTAAAGATTTTCCTGACATCTTCTTTGGTTAACTTTCTTTTCTTTTTTCTTTGGTTTTTCTAGACAGACTTTCTCTGTGTAGCCCTGACTGTTCTGGAACTCACTTTGTAGACCAGTCTGGCCTTAAACTCACAGAAATCCTTCAGCCTCTGCCTTCTGAGTGCTGGGATTAAAGGCATGTGCCACCACCACACAGCTCCTTTGGTTAATTTTTAAGTGTTTCATATTTTCCAAATATATTTACTTATTCTTGCTTTTTATTTGTTTTTTTTTTTACTTTTACTTGTACTGTAAATACACACTATGGTGTGAATGAATAATCTTGATTTTTTTTTGCTATTTATTTGTTTTACAACCTATGATATAGTCAACATTTGTAAATACTCTGTTGGTATTAGAAAAAAAAAACAATCTAGAGGCTTCAAAGTGCACCTTTTAAAACAAGCATGGTACTTAAAAATAAAGAAAAAACCCATAGTGAGACTTCAGTCTTACTACCACCAGGTACACAAAAATAGAAAAAGCTTAAAGTACAAAATGTGAGTTAGGATGCGGGCTGCCAGTGATGTGGTCATGGATGGTGGGTTTGGATGTGTCATAACCAGTTTGCTTTCATGTGAGAAAGAATGTGCCCTCAGGCCTCTAGAGTCTCACCTGAGAGACTCGCAAATGCGTGTGAGAAAGTTGACACCTTACATTCTGGGACGACCATGGTATAGGCAGGTGACACAGAGGAGGACCTGACGATCTGTCCCAGGCACACAGCGCAACACTGATGAATCTCAGGAATACGGCGTTAAGTGAGGAAAAGCCCCCCGTGGGAAGCAGCAGCACTGGTCACATTCAGGTTAAGCTGGACTGGTAAGAGCTGAGAACGCTGAGGTTCCGTGGCAATGTCCATGAGAGTGATGATACCTGAAAGGGATGGGGAGGCAAGGCCATCAGGGCACAGGCGTCTTTTCTGGCCACAGTCAGCTATTTCCTTTAGCAGGTGGTTGGATTCATGTTTTGCTACACTTTGTGTGTAGCAAACAGTCTTTTCCCAGTCTTCTGTAGCTTCTTAACTATCGGAACAATTTTAAAATTTCACAGTTATCATCGAACATTTTAGACTTTACTCCGCTACAAATCATCTTTGAGGAAGAAAGACACAGATCTAAAGGACCAGGGTGTTGCCCACCCTCCGGTCAGTCCTGAAGACTTGTGTCTAGTTACTGTAAAGGCCTCACACGGGGCTCTTAGCCAAAAGAAAATGACTGACCTCCTAGAGGAAGAGCTGAGGTTGGGGCTTCTAGGGAATCTTTCCTTGGCCTCAGGATGATCAATGAATAGTTCAAAATGAGTCTTCTAAAGGTAAGGTGAAGGGACATGCTCACTCTGGGACCCAAGGAAACAGTGATGGACCAGATTTTCTCCTTTTAGTGACACAAGTTCTGGAGGTGTGAGCTCCTGGGACATGCCTCCCTGAAAGGTCTGTAGTTTCTTCTTGCTTTCCTTTCTCATAGAACCTAAATTCCAACTAAAGTCTCCAGAAAGTGTCAGAGACCCCCCCTATCCCTACCACTATGAGATCTTTCTTTGTCTCCTTTGCCCCATGGTTATTGAGGGTGGAGGGCCTGGAGACTGAGCTCGGGCATCCAGAAGGGGCAGCTGGTCCTTTGAGGCATGCCCGTGCTGGCATCCAGCAACTGTCATGGTAACAGGTAGAGTTTGAATTTATGATGTTCTGCAGTGTCAGGGAAGGCTGAGGAGGAAGCACGCTTGTTTCCTTATACTATGGGTCGTCTTGGGCAGATCGTGACCACCAGGGGGCGCTGAGGCTGATCTGGGGTCTTCGTCAAGCCTTGGAAGTATTTTCAGAAGGAATGGATGAGCCCCCTCTATGGTAGCCACAGTTGCACTCATTCATTCAAGTCTACTCTTATCTTCAGAGTGGGTCCTGGTCTGACGTGTGTGTGTGTGTGTGTGTGTGTGTGTGATATCTATATCTGTGATATATGTGTATATGCAGTGTTTGTGAAGAACAGTGAAACAAATATCCGTGTCAAGTGTCTTCCTCTTTCTAGCTTATGTTTCGAGACAAGGTCTCTCGCTGAAGCTAAAGCGCGTGGATTGGCTGGGCTGGCTGGCCAATGACTCCAGAGATCTCTGCTTTGCCTCTCCCAGCACTGGGGTTACAGATATGTGGTCCTGACTCCGGATTCTATGAGGGTATTTGGAATTCAGACTTAGGTCTCGCGTGCTTGGCAGACACCTTGCAGGTTGGACCATCTCCCACGTCTCCTGCGGATGGAGAAAGCTGGGGTCAGAGACTGGGTGGAGCTGCGCATGCACTGGCTGAGGAACGCTATTACTCGATGTGGAAGAGGTAGGGAAGGTGTAGAACCGATCCCTAGAGCCTTCTGGAGAGGTGCCCTGACAATCCTTTGACTTCTGCTCTGCAACTGGAGAGAAAAGTCCTGCTGTTGTTTCTAGATGTTGGTGGCGTATGGAACCTGAGGCTGCAGCCTGAGAGAACAAATGTGTCACTACCCCGTGCCTCTGCCTCCCAAGTGCTGGGATTAAGGCCGTGGGCCTCCACCGCCCGGCAAATCCAAGGCATTTCTAAGAGGCTCAGCAGATAGAGAAAACCTTTCTGGGTGCTTTAGAAAAATAGACACCAACCCAGCCCCGATTCTGCCCAGCCCTTGCAGGTTCTGGTGTGCTATTCGCTTGTTACACCTCAGGACCTCTTCCAAGCTTACCTAGGAGCAAGATATCATGATGATCAAGCAAGGCTTATCCCGCTGCCCAGGCTGCCGCTGTCATCCACTAAGATATTAGATGGCAAAAGAAAGCTCCTGGCCTGGTTCTTGCCTGGGCCCCAGGCTCTGCGATCTGATTTCTTCCTGAACAAAGCCGCCACTTATTCAGGGGGTATGGTAGACTCCCTGACTCCCTGTCACCGGAGAGCGGGTCCTGGCCCAGCCAGGGAGCTGTGATTTGGGTCGCAGCCTGCTGGAAGGCTACCCTTTGGGTTGGCCCCTCCTGTTCCACTTCCCAGAAAGAAATGTGATACTTCTGAACTTTAGGACCCTATTCACCGCGGCTCCCAGGGGTGCTGTTGCTTTCCCTGGCAAAGTAAAGGGCTATTTTGGCACTAGAACAGTCTCAGTCCTGATGCTTTGGAAATTGAAAATGTGGGCTATGGGGTCCCCAGTATCCAGGTTTCAGTCTTTCAGTCCTGAACTAGTGGTGTGATCCTGAACAACAAATTTAATCCCTCAGAGCCTGCTCTTCGGGTTTGCTGAAGCTTGGCTTCCTTTGTTATGCAGAGCAGTTTTGTAGGAGTCCAATAGTTAGAAGGCATTCTTGCGTTACAGCCCCACCTGCCCTGTGCGTGCGTGCGTGCGTGCGCGTGTGTGTGTGTGTGTGTGTGTGTGTGTGTGTGTGTGTGTGTGTGTAGGTCAGAGGCCAACCTCAGGTGTCTACTTCATTCTTCTTTATTTTTTGAGAGAGCATTTCTCACTGGCTAGGTTGGCTGGCCAGCAAGCCCCAGGGAGCAATCTGTCCCCAACTGGGGTTGCAAAGCACACACTCCCATGCCGCACCTTTTCATGTGGATTCTGGGGCAAAAACTCAGGCCTTCACTCTACCAACCAAACTCTCTCTCTAGCCCCAGCCTTCCTTATTTTGTGTTTTTAAAGTATTTGTTATGGATGAGAAGGGCAAACCCCAGAGTCAGAGTGCAGGGACTGGTTGGCTGAGCTGTGCATATTTCTGGGGGACCTGGTCTTTGCTGCCTGTGGGTGGAATCTGAGCCTTGGGGACGGGGCTGTTGAATGTTCTGTGCACCTTGGGTAGGGCTAGCTCTTAAGGAAAGGCTTGTTTCCATCCTTCTGTCTTTTCCTCTGCCTCTCTTTATCCCTGTCTTAGTCAATGTTCTCTAGCTGTGAAGAGACACCATGACCACATCAATGCTTATAAAGGAACACATTTAGTTGGGGCTGGGTTACAGTTCAGAGGTTTGGTCTATTATGGTCATGGCAGGAAACGTGGTGTGTAGACAGATATGGTGGTGAAGGAGCTGAGAATTGTATGCCTGAATCAGCAGGCAGCAAGGGAGAGAGAGACAGTGGGCCTGGCTTGAGTATCTCAAACCGTAACGTGACACTCTTCCTTCAACAAGGCCACATCTACCCAAACAGGGACATACCTCCTAATAGTACCACTCCATGATGACCAAGTATTCAAATATATGAGCCTTTGGGGACCATTTCTATTCAAATCACCACAAGCTCTAAGCTAGGAGGGATGGTGGAGCCCAAAGACAGATACTATCTTGCCCAGGGTAACTTATCTTAGGTGAAAGTATTTGACATGGTAGTGGGGTAGAGCACTTGCGATGAAGAAAAGGTAGATGAATCAAGGAAAAATAATTAAGATAATTCTTCCATGGAGGAAGTGTGATTTACCCGCAGCTTGAGCAGCCAGATTGGTCTCTTCTACTCACTTCCTCTCTGAGGGAAGGAAACTCAGGGAAAGAGAAGAGGCCCAGGTAGATTGACTCAGAGGCCATTCACTGGTCTAGGCTAGGAATTTCCATTCGTAGTCTTTCATTTCTACATTTGTTTTTTTTTTTATCTTTCTTTCTCAGCTCTGTCTTAAATAATAGACCAAACCAAACAAAAATACCACACACATAAAAGGGCTGGAGATGTAGTTCAGTTGATAGAGTACTTGCCCAGGACTGTGTAGAAGCACAGCTCTTATCTCAAAGGAAGCACGATGTGGTTTATTCTACAGCCAAATGTGAGTGACCATGGCATGGGAATGCAGATTCAGGCCACACCAAATACCACATTTGAATGTGCTAACAGTTTTTTAAAAATTGTTTTTATGGAGCTATATATTTCTCTCCTCTCCCCTCCCTTTCTCTTCCACCCCTCTACCCTATCCCATGATCTCCATGCTCTCAGTTTACTCGGGAGATCTTGTCTTTTTCTACTTCCCATGTAGATTACACCCATGTATGTTTCTCTTAGGGTCCTCTTTGTTGTTTAGGTTCTCTGTGATTGTGAATTGTAGGCTGGTTTTTCTTTCCTTTATGTCTAAAAGCCACTTATGAGTGAGTACATTTTATATCTGTTTTTCTGGTTCTGGGTTACCTCGCTCAATATGATAATCTCTAGATCCATCCATTTGCCTGCAAATTTCAAGATATCATTAGTGTCCCCCACCCCCTGCTGTGTAGTACTCTATTGTGTAAATGTACCACATTTTCTTTATTCATTCTTTGGTCAAGGGTCATTTAGGTTGTTTCCAGGTTCTGGCTATGACAAACAATGCTGCTACAAACATAGTTGAGCACATGTCCTTGTGGTATGATTGAGCATCCTTTGGGTATATACCCAAAAGTGGTATTGTTGAGTCTTGAGGCAGGTTGTTTCCTAAGTTTTCTGAGAAAAGTTAGCTGAAGGGGTAATCTTTTACCTTCTTCAATTTTTTCTCCTCCTTTAAAAATCATTTTTACTGAGATTGGGGTCATCCATAAGGAGAACCAGCAGAAATTTTGGTCTCAAGAGGTCATCACAAAGCTGTGTGTGATTGCCCTGAGGAATTACAAGGCAGCATTCTTTCCTCCAGTAGCCAAACCATCTCCTGAGCACAAGCCTGTGGTAGCAGCTGGATTCCCACCACCAGTACTCAATCCATCAACTGGATGCCTTTGTGCACTACCCAGCCTGTACTTGTGCTTGAAGCAGGCCTGGACATTCAACTTCTGAACCCAGCTTGAAGAAGGCCAGGGACAGAAGAGAAGAAAAATCTCTCTGAGAGACCTTGACAACAAAACTGTGCAGTTTTTCTGTCTCCTAAGGTCACTATCTGCTTTCAAATGACTCTTTCAGTGACTGCCAGGAGCTGTTCTCCTTCAT